GGCTTTGCTTGGCCTTGACAACATACTCTATGCAAATTTGGCTTATAAGCATTAAAATTACTTTTAGCTTCAAACATGAATACAAGAGGATTTTAAAAGAATTGTTTCATGCCCGCAGCTAAGTGGAGTACAAAATTGCATTAATCACCTCACGCTTAGTGATACCCCTACATCCCAAGCAGGGACACACACACACACACACACACACTCATTCTGTTGTGAACTTTCACGTACAGGCAATAGTGAGACCACAAATATTTTGAGTGTAAGAAACTTGATACTTCATCTTCTATAGGACAGAAGTTTCTATTGGGTTTCAGGTTAGCCTAGCTGCTACTCGTAGTGGACTAAGGCTAGGCCGTGAGCCTCTCCTGGACCATGAATTACATGCATGAAGACCTGATTCCAGGCTGGCTTCTTACTAGACACTTGAGTACATAAACTCACCATTTCAGTTCCCCTGTGTTTCAAAAATAATTAGGATAGTAATTTTTTTCAAAAGTAAAAAAAAAAAAAAATAGGAAATGGGAATTGATAAAATGAAATGAGTTTACTCTTGTTTTAGCCAGAACTGGGGAATCTCTTAGTTTCTACCTCTGCTGTAGCAGTATAATTTCATTAAAAAACAAAACAAAGGCAGGATATATGCATGTGTGAGAACTGTCAGGGCCGTAGGGCCTCACCTGCCACACTAGCATTCAAGTCCTGGGGAAATTTTATTTCTATTCCTTGTTTTAGGATACTTCTAACATCAGTTCATGCTTGCTGAGATGTGAAGAGAAAAACTTTATTACATCCTTCCTTCCATATCCCCGTGAATGACAACACAACACTTTTCAGCAGCTGGAGACAGACAGAGAGATGTCCTCCAGAAATTGACTGTCTCCTCCAGAATTCTTTAGAAAAACAATCATCCCAGCTTCCTTCAGTGTGCTTTGCTTCCACAGCCCCAACTCCTTCGGCTCTCCCTGTTCTGGCAAGAGTGAAAATGCTTTAACTAACGGGAGACACTTGCATTCTCCTATGCTCCTCAGGGTATTAAAACGGTGGTCCCAAAATTACCACAGTTTCCCCGGGGGAATCATTCCGGGGGAAGAAAAGGCTAATGCCAGGTACCAACCAAGGGAGTTTGCCTCCCGAGAATAGATGTCACATAGTTGCGCCAGGCTGAGCAGATACGCTGATGGCTACATCATGGGTAGCATGGCCCCTTGGAAAGGATCACTTAGTTACATACCTCCTGCCCTCTGTGCAAACCTAACTCTGACACCAGGACCATGAAAACTGATTTGGGGGGGTCACTAGACCTATTTATTTGTTTACCTGCCCAATGTGGCCACACCGACTGACCCTCTCTGCTGTTCTCTATCGTCTCTGTAATTGTTCCATTAGGAACAAGTGGCCACATCCAACTTGGTAAAACTGTCAGCGCTCAGGCTTTGACCTTGGCAACACCTGCAGTTGTGGAAGAAATAAGGTGGTACCTGGAGTGAACCTGACTTCATTCCCTGTTTTTTTAAGGTGATGAAACCTGAGTGAAAGCTCAACCTCTCCAGTTCCCATTCCCTGAGGAGATTTACAAGATCATCCTGTGAGAGCAAACATCTAGCACCATGTCTAAAGCGCCCCAAATTACCACCTGCCATTTTATTAAGTGAAATGCTGCAGCCAAAAGTCAGCTCTCCAGCTGTGCTGTCAAATCTAGTCATCACCAGCCACAAATAGTTAAGGTTAAATACGTTTAAATTAAAATTTTAGTTCTTCAACTGCATTTGACATATCTAAAGCAAAATTGAAGTTACATATGCCTAGTGCAGATACAAACTTTTCATCAGAAAGTTCTACTGGGAGGTGCCCTGTCCCCTTGGGTCCTGAGGTCAGAACATCAAATGCCAGTTTCTTTGAAATCTTTCCTTGGTGCCAGAATACGAGCAACCTGCTTCCCACACCATCTCTGGGGGAAGAGCCTTCCAGTTCAGCCCTCAGGACGGAATTGCTTCTGCAGGGAAGCCTCAGTCTTGATCTGTTTCAGGAGACGCTGACTGGTGGCTCGACGGCAGCCTGCCGTGAGCCCTTCACTCCTTGGCAGAGTCTGGAGTAATGTGGGTAGTGCCGGGAGCTCCGGACGTAGGGTCTTCCTTCTAAGCAAGGAGTAACCCTCCCCCCATCTCACTGCAGCTACTGCGAGCCTCTGCTGGGTCAGGGACACCATGAAGTCCCCCACGAACCCAAAGTAACTTCCTGGCAGAGGCCAGGGAGACCATAGCTACTAGGAAAGCAATTGGCACTATCAAGTAGGACCCTACATTTTTGTAGACAGCCAGAAATGACTGAGGGCATTTTGAGACAGACATTATGGGCTAGAAACACAGTACAGGGAATGCGTAAGTTCACAAGGTTTAACCTTAGAAAGAGCCAAGGCCCCTTAAAATGTGAGATGGACCAAGGAATCAGATGATCTCCATTTTCTCCACCCATGTCCCTGGTTCCATGGCTCAGAAGTAAGCATCTTTCTTATCATGAGTGGGCTTCACTGGGCTTCAGCTCTCCGTAATCAAGGTAGAGTTACCTTTATCTTTGGAGAAATAAAGGAGGAACATAGACTTATATATGGCTTGATTGTAAATGGTACTTAGATTAGGTTATAGAGGCTAGAGGAAATATCTAAGTCTTTATTGAATAGCAGGTTTTTGCTTTGTTTTCTTTTGTTTCCTTTTTGTTGTCTTGCACAACCCCTTCATCGTTTATAGAAAGAAAGTCACAGCTGGATTTACTCTTGGTCAAGATTCTATCTTCTTTTTAAGTTGACAGCAGCACAATGGTGCTAACAATTGCAAACCACCATTACTTTGTGCTCAGCACACAGATGTAGATATTGGCACAATCACTCAGTACGGCAGGAGGGGGCAGTCACACCCAACGACAGGAAATTCACCTTAACCCAGGCATCCTTTCTCCAGACTCTGGACAACCTGAGGGTGCTCAGACAAGGCAGTATAAGCCCGTCTCCCCCCCCCCCATTCCGTTCTCCAAGAGCAACCACTGCAGCTGGTTGGTTCTTCCAGAGATGTTCTGTACAGACTGACTATCCAGAGGGCACTGGGAAGTCTTGACAGGGGAGATGGATAGGGACTCTTTGGAATTCCATATTGTCAAAAAGAATCCGCAGGGATATGCTCACAGCTTAGTACATACATGCTGTGAATAACTTGCTTGTTCCGGGTTAACTCTCCAGCCCTGGATGAACGCAGGGTTGACACCAGAAGATGTCAACTAGAGTCCATATTGCAGGGAAACCCCTGAACCTAGATATTCAAGAAATGCAGAAGATGATGAGCATGAGCATCTAGTCTCAAAGATGTGGCTGACCCCATGAGCAGAGGGCACGGCAGCTCTGGAGTGATGGCCTGCCTTGCCTCCCTCCTCCTGGCTGCTTGAGACAGAAGCTGGTCCTCAGGTGGGTAATTGGCTACCTTCTCAGACTGCACCATAAGACTCAGTCCCATCTCTGCAGGCATGTGTGTGGTGACGGTAGGGAACAGGTGTTCTGGCCGCATCTCACTCCTGTACACTAGGAGATACGTGTTTTCTGGCTGATGTCTGAGTTGCTTCTCAAGTGACCATGTTGGTAGTGACCATGGTTAGTCTAGGGACACGGAGATAGAGAGAGGAAACTAAGGGTGTCTGGGCCTTTTTGAAATCCTCCAATGATTCTGCTGTCCCTCTGGATATGACTGCCAGCCCTGACCTGGGTTAAGTCTCTGTCTTAGGGCTTCCTGCTCCTTCCTCAATTTTCTGCAGAGTAGATTGTTGCAAACAGCTCAGGACACATTCTCTTGGCCTCACTGACCGTGCCCTACCTGCCTAGGTGTGCTCCAGATGTTTATCTGATTGCTCATCCTCATCTCCCCACGGCCCGGGTATTTCACAAATCATCTGAAGGAAAGCCAGTCCACAGATGGGCAACAGGGAGGAAGGAACATTGTCTGGACAGTTGCTCTTTGCCCATGGGTTTGTGGCTTCGATGATGGTAGGATGGATGGCTCACTCCAGAACCCCATCTTTGAGTGCTGGAGTCTAAGGCAGACAGCAGGCAGTAGGCTGTAGGTTGGAATGGCAGGCAAGTTACCCAGCCAACTGCTCCCTTTCTCCAGCAGGCTTCCCCCAGCATGGCAAGCAGTATTTAACAAGCCGGATCTCAAATATTCTTTGGCCCTTCAGTAGAGCCACTGTTGATGATGAGGCGGGGCTAGACCCCTGGGTATCTCTGGTTGTTCTGGGCTTTCTCATTTCATTTCACTCGTTATTTAGTTTGCTGTGTTAGTTGGCTGGTGGGTCAGAGGACAACTTGTTCGAGTATATTCTCTCCTTCCATCACATTGGTCCTGGGATGAAACTGCAGTCATCAGGCTTCATGGCCCGTGCCTTTATCCGCTGAGCCATCTCGCAGGCCCTCAAAGGGCTTTCTCTGTCACCTGTGGTTCAGAAGCAGCAGCCACCCCTTGCATTTGCCAAGTTGCATCCACACCTCCCTCCGCTAGAATCTGGCTTCCTTGATTCTCAGAACTTCTGTCCTGCTGCCCTCCCCACCCCCGCCCCTCCTCCCTACCTCCCCTCCAGGCTGGCCCCCAGGTGCTCACTACCTGCTCACGCCCTCAGCACACTTTCCCTGTTCCCAGCCATCTCTCTTCAAGGCCCGAGGCCGCCCATCCTGTCCTCTGTAGCTAACCTTTTGGATTGGGTTCGCTCTAAAACCCGACGGTTGCGAAATCGCAGCAGCAGCAGCCGCCGCGGGCGACAAGTCAGGTTCCCAGAACTGAGGTCGGGGTGTCCCCTCGAGGGGGCGCCCCACTGCCCCCGTCATCTGGGACACGCTCTCTGACCCGCTTTCCCAGAGGCGCCTTCTGGCCCTTGTGCTTGGACAGGGGCGGCGACCCGGGGGCGGAGGGGAGTGGCCGCCGCGACCTATTTCCGCGAACACCGCGAGCGGGGTTCGGGGAGCGAGCTCCGCGCCAGCCTCCCGCATCCACGCCGCCCGCTTGGCCCCCGCCGTCCGCCTCCATGCAGCCCGCGCCGCCGCCGAGCCTCTGGCTGCTGCTGAGCCTCGCGCTGCCCGGGGTGGCCGCGGTGGCGCTCGGGGACCCCGAGGCCACCGCCGTCCCCGAGCGGCCCCCGGCCGCGGGGCTGCCGAGCGGGATCCTGCAGCTGGCGGCGCGCGCCGCGCTGCACTTCTTCAACTTCCGCGCCGGCTCGCCCAGCGCGCTGCGGGTGCTGGCCGCCGTGCAGGAGGGCCGCGCACGGGTGAGTGGGGCACCGCACGGCCGGGGCGGCGGGGCGCCGGGGCCACCAGCCCTGCCTCCGCCCTCCAGGCCTCTCCGAGGCCAGAGAGCCCTCACCTGTCAGGGCTGCGCTTGGGGAGCCTGGGGAAAGGGTCCCACGCTGTTGGGGTGCACTGCAAGCCCAGCCCACCCGTGGCTTAGACTCTACGGCTCCCAGCATAGTGGGGAGGTGTGTCCACAGGGTAAGCCGGCTCTCAGCACCGCGGACAGGCTTCTGGGGCTCTGTTTTGTCGTCCTTTGCAGGCTGCGGGATAAAGTGGCAAAGATCGCTCAGGACCGTCTAGCCCCGGTGTCCTCCTGATCTGACCAGGGAGTGACAGGGCGACAGTCACCGGCATGAACGGAAAGCGGGAAAACTTTCCAGCTTGTCGATTGCTCGCTCATTTTCAGGCAGTGGTTGTGCGTGTGGGGTTGTGTGAGCGAGGCCGCCTTGCCCCCTCCATCAAACACTTAGACAGCTGCAGAGTCACAGAGGCGGTGTGGCTCCCGGAATGTTCCTCCCAGCCTGACAGCTTACGTAGAGCTGAGCACAAGATTGGATGGTGGGCTGATACAGACCGGCTGTCTGGGATCAGATAATGTGAGCTGCCCTTTGGGCTCTCATTTTTGTTCCTGATTTCTAGGAAGAGGCAAACTACTGTGACAGTTTAAAAAAAAAAAAAAAAAACAGCAATCTTTGGGGTCTCAGGGACACCTCACCCCAAGCTCCAGCTCTTTACTAGTTCACCAAAAATGAAGTCACAACTCTCAGAGAGGAAAAGGGAGCCCTGACGGCAATCTCCTGAGGAGATAATTCTCTATTAATACAAACCCCAAAATCCAAAAACCAAAAACCAGACTGACAAAGTACACCAATTTTTGAATAGTGGGAATTCTTTTCCTTCATCCCAAGATGGCTTTTAAAAAATCATAAGACAGGACTAGTGAGCTGGCCTGGGCAAAGGCACCTGCTGGCAAGCTTGAGGAGGTGAGTTTGGTTGGAGTTTGGTCCTCTGACCTGCATGTGGAAGAACAGAACTAACTCAGTCCTCCAAGCTGTCCTCTGACTTCCCCAGGCCTACCATGGCATGCATGCACTCATGTAATAAATAAATGTGTTTTTAAATCATAAAATACCTTACATATCTGTGCTTTTAGCTACCCCTTGGAAAAGGAGCCCTTGGTGTCTTTACAAAAGAAGCTAGCTCTCAGAAGCTGGGGGAGAACTCCCTCCCTTTCCCTTCGCCAAGTGCTCTGTAGCTCTTCTTGTGTGTAGTGCTACAACGTTCCTGGACTCCGAGGAGACCCGCCTCATCAAAAGGGGTGCGTGAGAGAGTAAATAAACAGGGGACCCAAGGCATGAACCCTGAGAAACAATCCCCTGTGGTCAGGGTTCCCCTTAACCTCCCTGATTGATGTGATTGCAGGAGCCAAGGAAAAGAGGTCAGTGTGTCAAGAATCAATTTCTCCCATGAATCCGGTGAAATTGTTTCCTGTCAAAGGTTACTAAAGAAAGGTCCATCCTTAAAGACAATCAAGCAGGCCAGTGTTGGGGAGAGAAACATCTAGCAAGCACATGCTAGGGTCTGTGAGAGTGGCAAAAATGAGGAGGAATGGCTAGGAACGGGGGCTGATTCCTGATGGGGATTGCATTGAGCTGGCTTCCTAGGATCTCCAACAGGTCGTGTTAATGCTGTAAACCGGCCCCTGTTTTACCTCCTGGACACCTATATGTGGCCTTCTCTAGCTAACACCCCACTTAGGGTGAAAATTGTTCATACTCTGCCAACACCATGTGGTTATAAAACATGTTATCATACGACACATCAACCAAAGTGTCAAACTATGAGTTAGGGTAGTCTCTCCCCCAGGAGCTATTTCTTGAGCATTTTGTGTTAGGCCTCCAGCTAGATTTTCTGGCCTTAATTCAGATGTACCTAGCATCCTTAGGAAAGGCATCTTTGGCGTTCTTAAGGTTTCGGAAGTGTTTGGCCGACCTAAGTGAGAACACAAACTCAGCCTGGTGGGGTCAGCATGGAGAAAGTGTAGGAACTCCTGCTCCAGTGGCAAGAGCGGCCACTTTCGTTCACTGCAGAAGGGAACCGCTGGTCGATGGCTAACCTCTGGTTGCAGTCTTCATCCTGAGGGCACTTTGGTAGAAGAACAACGTGCTAGGCTACCACACTGCATCTGTCTGTCACCCAAGACCGAGCTGGTGCCAGGGGGTAGGGACTAAGTGAGTTTTTCAAAGGAAGGGCCCATCAGCAAGTTATGCAATCAGTTTAACTGGGTCCAATTGCTTTAAATTGTGGTTCTGGGATTGAGTCCTCAGCCCCATGCGTACGTTCTGGGCATGTGCTCTACCACTGAGCCACGTCCCGAGTCCTAGGTAATGAAATGATGTGGACTGTGAGAGGACGTAACAAAAGCAAGAGTGGCGTTTCACGGTGTGGTTCGATTATATGTGCGCAAACTAGGTCGTGATGAGGGACGCAATTCTTGAGGTAACTTTTGTCTTAAAAAATAAAAATCAAAACGAAAACATGAAAGCCGGGCAGCCAAATGGTTTTTAAAAGAGCCCTTCCAGCTCCAGATTCTCTTCCTAGCGCCTCAAGAGCCCTCATTCTAGAAACACTGTTGCCCTCTGGTGGTCAAATGCAGTAATCACAGCAGATTACAGTTTAAGAAAATGCAAGGAAGTGGTCTCTCCTCTCCTGGAATAGACTTTACAGTGGCCTGTGTTTCCTTGTTCCTGGTCCCACACCACCATTCCATAACCAAAACATGACACGACCTCAGGACCACAGTTGGCATGGAGAAGATTCCAAGGGGTGGTAGGAGTTCTTAGACAACGGGGAGCAGGCCCATGGGGTTCCTCCAACCCTGGATACATTGCTTTCACGGAAATTTCGGGATTTGAGGATAACTCCTGGCCATATGCTTTCTAAGAGATCCGATTCACTCAGGGATCAGCTGTTGGCCGGGAACTGACATATGCCTCATTTTCCATCCAGGACCAGAGACAATTCAAATAGCAGGGCAATGCGTATTAGGAGAAGGGGCTTGCCCTGCTTTATTACAATAAAAACTAGCAAGTATTACAACAAAAACTAGCAATGTCCCTTTTATTCTGACGTAGGGCATTTGACTGGAGCACCATGGGGTCTTTCTAGCAACAAAACATGCCCATCATACACGTTTCCATTTCCGTTTTGGTCCAGTGCCAGTGAGCTGAGCGCTTGGACATGATATGTAACACTCCAGTCTTACTCTCCATGGATGACTGGTGTGGGAGGGCCCCGCCCACTGTGAGCACTGCCACCCTGGGCAGGTAGTCCTGAGTTGCATTTTTGAAAGGAAGACTGGGAAAGCCATGGGGAGCCAGGAGAGGCAATGCGGCCTCTGCTTCAGTGCCTGCCTCCGGGTTCCTGCTTGAGTTCCTGTCCCACCTTCCCTCAGCGATGGGCTCTGCCGGGGAAGTGCAAACCAAAGAAACCCATTCCTCCCGGGTTGCTATGGGAAGTGGCCTCTGTCACAGGAATAGCAGGAAAATTAGGTCAGTGGGCATGACACATTTTTTATACCTATTCTTTACAGACCGAATATCCAGCCTGAAGGTAAGTCAGCTGGTTTCTGGTAAGGACTGGGCCACCTTTGTCAAGCCAGAAGGTAGAGCGGTGGCTGTTTTTCCAGGTTTCAGCCCACTCTGGGCCTGAAGCAGGTTGGCATCTGTCCCCTGGCCACACAGGCCCAAGTGCAGGCACCGCAACAGGAAAGAACCTCCTCACTTTTCAAGCTACAGAGTACTTTAGTCCAACATCAGACCCCAGTCCCGACTCTTCCTGAAGCCTTCCCTCCACTAATGTCAATGATTCAGAGCCAATCACTAGGAATAGGAAAGCAATGCATTACGTAGAATGTAGTACATGGAAACAAAACCTGGAGAATCAAAGAGGCAGCAAAACACATGCAGGAGGCAAGACAATAAAATAGTGACGTGAAATCGTGTTTTCTTGCACTGAAATAAAACCTTAGCAGCTTCCAGGGCCTCTGAGAGACAACAGCCAGATCAGATCAGGCTCTCCTGTGAGAGAGCCGAATTGCCTCCTGGTTGGCACACCGCCTAGTGTGGGGGGGCCCACAGCACAGCACAGAGCAGAGAGATAGCACACCCCACCCTGGCCCGAAAACGCTCAGGCAGACTGCGGTCTCTGCCGCACCGCTCCAGCTCCCTGAGGGAGAGCCTGGGTGGAGAACGCCAGCAGGTGTAAAACTTTGACTGGTTTTCTGTGCCCGCATCACCCAAGCTAACCGGACCCAGATAAACTAGCAAGTTAGGAATGCCTTCAACCGTTCTGTGACAAGCTGTTTCTGTTCATATTCTGCCCCCTGTCCACAACATTCCACATTTGGCTTTTCACATGTAAGACCAGGATGTGTGTAGTCACACAGGATTAGGAGTGCTTCAAATAAAGACTACTGGGGGGGGGGGGTGGCGTGAACACTGCCCACAGGAGTCTGCCCTACGGTCTTTCTGAGAAAGGCTCTTGATGGTTCCACTGGAAATTGAATGCAAACACTCCACCCCCAAAAGATTAATTTTTGATACCAAATGATCCAGTTTCAGTGACTGCTAAGCAGTGAGTCACTCCATGCTCAGACGTGCATACAGGCAGCCAGGGCAGTGGCGACTCATCTGGGGAATGTTTTGGAGAGCCGAGCCCGCACTGGCCAAGGTTAATAGCCATGACAAGTGTCTGGCTTGGGTACTTTATATGGTTGCTCAGGGCATCATCCACCACTAAAATCAAGTTAGGAGAGAGGAGCTCCTGTGTAGCAGCAAAGAAAGTGTATGTGAGCCCACAGCCACACCAAGGGTGCATGTCCACAGCAAACTTCACCTCAGGGATCACAGCTAGTTCTACCCCTGCCTATGACCATATGACAGCTTACCACAGCGCTAGTGGGTTCCAGACACGAAAT